GCCCTACCTGAAAAAGGGTAAGGAGACACATGACCATTTTGACGCAGTATGGATCTCCGCTACCAGGTATCTGGAGCAAAAGGAGAGGGAGCTCGAAGAGAGTGGCACTACGCTGATCCGCAGCTTTGGGCCCAAGCTGTATACTTACTATCCCAAGCCTCCCATTCCTGTCCTTCTCACAGATGGCACGAGTTGGCTTGACATGATCGGCTTGGCAAAGAGGTACATCTCTCCAGCGGTGATCGATATTGAGGCACTGACTGAGCCCACCGAGTATCCCTACCTCCGACGAGGAGTTTTTTCAGTGGACGACTGCCTACATTGTGGAAGGAGTTTTCCTTCATGGTTAACTTTCGTGTCATGTACCTCGGATGGTCATGCTCAGAGCTTGCTAGCTTCAGGTGGCTCTTTGTCATGAGGCCTCAATCTCAGACTGTGCATGGGCGTGGGTCACAGCACCAGAGACAAACAATGAAAAGAGAGATTGGGAGAGACTAACCAGAATGATGAGTGAGGACTCTTGAGAGGTGCTGACCGTACACTTTCTGAGGTTATTATGAGTTCTAATTCATCCTTCATTCATTTGATCCTGTCATTGTTCAAGTCAGTCATTCTTGCTTCTTACCTGTTCTTGCCTGATGATTACCATCGTGGATAATCTTGTCACAATTCTCAAAATCAGTTTGACATAATTGATGTATGCATGGCACCCCATAATTTCTATGGTTATTTATTTGCATGATGTTCAACTGTTCCGAATCAAAATAAAAGATTCCTAAGACCGGGGACCGGCGAAGACCGTAATTGAAGGGTCTCGCTCGAAGCCGGACGCACACAACAGGAAGGGATTTGCATTATTTAATTTATTTATTTATTGCAATCACATACAAAATCCTGCGTGACAGCCTGTTGGCTTTCTGGTCGCTTGAAGTGGCCTGACTGAAAAAAGTGCGACAGCGTGCGTGCGTGTGTGTGTGTGTGGGGTGGGGGTCGGGGTCGGGGTCGGGGTGCGGGGATGTGGGGGTGCGGGGTGGAACGCACCCACTGTGTGGGGGACGGGGGTGGGGGTCTGAGGGTGGAGGTGGGTCACTGCCTCCACGGCCCCTCTTCCTTTTGGCGGCGCCGACGCCGGAGTTACTTGGCGCCAAAACGATGAATAAAATGAAACTTACAAAAATGAAACGATAGCGCCCAAACGACGAAAACGAACAAAGAAAAAGAAAAGAAAATAAGAGAAATGCGTCCCAAGGGGAGAAAAAAAAACCCCGCAAAAACAGAATTAGAAAAGGGAAAAAACACAAAACGACACTTTCTTGCTATCGACGGCGGGCGCTTCAGGATATTCCCTCGCATTGGGGCCCGCCGCCGCTTCGCCCCTTGGGCGCGCTCTCTCGTTTTCTGGCGCGCTGTGAACATTTCGGTACGCTCGCCACTCTGCCCGCCCCCCCGCCCTCGGTCGCCTCCATCCGCCGGCCCGCAGCAAAACTTCACTCCCAAGTCCGGCGCAGAGCGGACCATGGACCTCCCCCCGCAACCAATGCTGCTTAAGGGGTAGGATATTTTTTTTTCTTTTCTATTTATGTAAATCTTTTTTTCACATATCAAAAAACACCCCCCAAATTTTATTTTATTTTTATTTTATTTTTTTACAGGATAAAAAAGGTTGACGTGCGACGGCCGCACGCGCACGCCGTTTTCTCGACCCCCCCCTCCGCCGACTATGAAACATGCGTCCGCGGGGTCGAGCTCGGAGGGCGGGCATGATCACGGCCGCCGCGGCTCTGGCCGCGGTTGGGTGTGGCCGCGACTTTCAGGGATTGTTTTAGACTTTAAACAATTTTATAAAAAAAAAACAAAAAATATAAGGTTGTAGATCTTTTAAAAATCTAAATTGCGCATTTTTGAATTTTATTTTTTGATTTTTTTTTAAATTTTAAAAATTCAAAAACTAATTTTCCAGAGGCAAAAGCTTTCTTTTTTTTTTCAAGAAAAAATTATGAAGCTTATGTGTTTTTTTATTTTAAATTCAGTAAAGTTTTTGGATATGAACCCAATGCAAAGTTGTTCAGTATATGTTTCTGCGTAACATTTTGTTTTTTCAGAATTGTTTGAAGTTTTTTTTTTTCATGGCCACAAACCTCGTTCATGGCCGTGGGGTCGCGGCCTAGGCCGCAACCGCACCTAGGCCGCACATGGCCGCCTCTGGGGGGGATTCATAGGCGCCAGGGCCTGGGGTGGCCTTGCGGAAACTCGGTCACGGACCCGTGGTCGGTCTCCTCAGCCGTCGCCGAGGCCGCAAGATCCGCGGCCTGGGGTGTCACGTAGGTTGTAGCCAAGGATATCATCGATTTCCTAGACCTCGAGTGCGTTAAGGTCCACCAGGAATGTCTCTGCCTCAGAGAGCGTACCCTGTCTGTGATGTCTCAGCGCCTACAAAATCCCGATCGCACCTTACCATGACGTTCACACTCGCTACCCCCGGTCTCCAACACTTTGCGAGACTGCCAGCATTGAGTCTCCTGTTCCTGATGTACAACACGCGTTCCCAGAGAGCGCTCGTCTTCCCCAGGAGTGTGACATTCGTTCTCGCTACCCTCGGTCTCCAACACTCCTGGAGCGGGCCCCTCCAGCACGTCGCAAGATCGCCAGTCTCGAGTCTCAACACATGAGAAAGGAGGCGAGCAGGGTAACCCTGTGTCCAACTGAAGATGTGGGGGTCAGGACGTCACATTTTCTTGGCCCCGTGGAACTGTTGCGTGAGGAGCACTTATGGCGTAGGGCGACGACAGCAAATCCGAACGTATTCGGAGTTTGTGGCGGTTGCCGGAGCCGAAGGAACCGGAGGTCGCACCTTCGCTCCTTCGCAATGCAGGCATCCCGCCCTCCAGGCAAAACGAAGACGCGCCCCCTTTCAGGAGCAAGGTGTTGAGCACAGGAGACCTCTGCTGTGCACGGCGGGATGGACTCTCCTAGGCAACGGGAAACAAACTCCTCGCAGACAAGTGTGAATCTACTCGCACTTGATCAGACGTTAGGGTGGCCTCGTCTCGCATGTCGGAATCTCGACTCCCTACGCAGTGGGGGTCAGTTTCCATATACTGGGGACTCCTGGACGTTCTACGCTTTCCGCCCGACCCCTTTCCGCTCGACCCCTTCCCGCCCGACCCCTTTCCGTCCGACCCCTTTCCGCCGGACGCCTTCTCAACCAACGATGTCTCGCCCGTCCCCTTTCCGGCAAACTGTGAGCCGTCTCCTCCGCCACCTCCGCCGTCTCCTTCGTCTCCTCCACCACCCCCTCCCAGATGCTGACCGGCCGGCGGAGGTGGCGGCATGCGCCAGTCAATGCCACGAGACGGTGCCGTTTCGAGTGCGTAGAAAGACGCTCGAAACTCCAACATGTTGTTAGCGTACAACTCATGTAGCTTTTATTCTGCATACGCATCGACGTCCTGATCGTTCCTCTCGGGGTTCATGAGACTCAAATGTTCCACCAGAGCAGTTCTTGCCTTTCTCTTAAATGCACCCGCTCCCAGTCTCTTCAGTCCACTCCACTTGCCATCGGCCTCCTTTATTGCCATGACCCATATTCCATTCCTCACAACAGGTTGGAATATCCTCGGGTGCCAGACGACGTTGTGTCCCCAGACATCCTCCGACGTGAACCGGTGATGCTTCCCGAAGAAGTAGAGTCTGTCATTCTGCCAGGTGTCATGGTCCACAGCCTGTCACAAGGTTCGTGATCATAGTCTCTCTCTTCCTCCCCGTCATTAGACGATTGATCGTCGACTTGTTTGCCCCGAAACACACGCTTCAAACCAGCAGGGGACGTGCTATATCTCTGAGGGCCACCTTCGTCTTCATCACCAACCTGTCCAACCACCCGAGGAAGTGGCATGGACTCGAGATCGAAGGTTTCGAAGTCGCTCAGCTCCTCCATGTCGTCAGCATCGAAAGGGTCCTCCTCGTCAAACAGTGACTTGTAGTTTTTGAGAGTGAGCGGTTCAAACAGCGTGAAGTAAACGTGCTCCAGCCTTCTCAGAAAGTGCGAGACAGACTCCCTGGGTGCACTGTGGTACCCATTGAGCACAGCGAACACTAGGTTTCTCCGTCAACTGTATTTGAGGTCGGTCGGACCAAGCGGTCCGGGTCCGAAAAGGAAGTCCCAAACGTCCGTCCTTTTGTTCCCCGACAATTTCCAATACATGTCACGTTTGGGATCCCAGTTTCATTCGCCGGTGGTGCAGGCAAACTCGCAAGCATTGCGAGTGTCCGCAACGCGTGCCTTCATGAACTCGTGAAGGTAATCGATCATCTTCACCTCCTTCTCCAACGCGACGACGTTCCGACCGGTGCGCAGGAGTTCCCACACGACAGACGCATGCGCCTTCCCAAAGAAAAAAATAGTTTGACCAGCTTTGCAAAAGTTTACGAGTAGACCAAGTAGACGGGACGGGTTCTGCTCCATCTCCGTGTAAGCAGGTCCTTGAGAACTTGTCACGACGCCGTCCTCCCACATGCTATGAGAGAACCTTTCCACTTCCGCCACGTCGAAACACGCCACAGCCTGTCCTGATGGGTCCCACGAACAGACAGCTTTCAAGTGGCCCGCCACCGTCTGTTTGGCCGGACTTGGACCATGAGCATGGGAAACCTTTGTCGGGCTACTGGCCGGGTAGACTGCGAATGTGTTGTCTTCCAGCTTCTCGCCATTAAAAATCACGTATAGGCGGTCACACTCCTCAACCAGCATATTGTCTTCCCGGACAGTGGCTTGCTTTTGTGCATTACGCACCCACTTTCCTGTCCTGACGTGATGGACGCTAAGCCTGACCATGCCTTTCAAGAAACTGAGCTCCCAACGAGAGGGGAAAAAGATCATAAGTGCCCAGTGCGTTGGCGAAAGTGTTTGTAGAAGGCCTTGCAAGTTGCCGAAATCGTCTTCTCGCCAGTCTGTGAGGAGTGTGGGATCACACAAATCAAGGACGTACAGGTTGCACACGTAATGTCGCACAACCTCACGGATCGCAGTGACATGATTGTGAGCTTGGGAAGGCGGGAAAGCGAAAGGAATAAGGCTGGTCATCCATTGAGGTCGGGCCATTTGATGTGCCTCACATCCCCGCTGACCCTGGTCATGTCTCGAACTTCTTCTTCCGTCCGTGGCAAGATGGAACGGACAGACTTTTCGAAAGATTTAAGGAACCTGTCATCATCGTACAATTTCTTCGCGTCGTCGAGGGACTCCTTCTCGTGCGGAAGAGTACGTTTGCAAGTGTTCACGTTCTCCACAGCGCCCTGGAAATGCTTTCGCATTTCGACCCACACCTGTTTCGTGAGGCCCTGCGGCCCATACTCTTCCAAAAGCTTCCCCTCGGTCTGAAAAACAAGGTTCCCGTGGCGCCAAACACGTTCGTCCTTCTTCGTTTCAAGGAACAAGATGTAGTGGAACATACGGAGCATCACACGGTCCACTTTCCTCGTCGTGACCATGTTTTTAATTCCTGGTTTGTGCTGACACTTCAGATGGCCGCGTGCGGATTGCACGAACACTCCCCTTAGCGCGAGAATGTCGTCAAGGATCGACAGTTTCTCGGCATTGGTCATATCGGCGAGACACTGGCAACAGAACATGTCTGGCTCCTTCACGACCACGAAAAACTTGTCGTCCACTTGCGTTTTCTTTTTGGTCGGAGGCGGCGGGACCCGGACCAGCCACCCCATCTTCGTTTCACCAGCCGCCCCTTTCGAGCCCATTTCCGGAATTTCTTGCAGACCTGGAGATTTGTCTGGCATAAAATTGCCCGGCCTCGACAATGGCGTCTTGCCGTCGCCGCCCAACAACTTCTCCTCCGCCCATTTCGCGTAGAATTTCATGGCTTTGCGGAAAACGTCGTCACCGACCGTCACGAGCGGCATCCACTGCCTCAATGCATTGCCAACTGCAGCGACATACTCCTTGACGAGCGACGAATCTTTTTGTGCCAACATCCAGTGAATTCCGTTCGGACTCTTTCCCAAAATCAGCTTTTGGAAATCGAAGAACTTTTGTTTTTCGGCCTCCTTGCCGGAAGGGTTTCCTTGAATGGCCACCGGCCTTCCTTCATTCTCTCATGCCTCCCGCATGTCCAAAAACGCGGCCTTCTGTGATCGCTGCTTAGACATCTTGTGTCTCGTGTTCTCGTTGAGACTGACCTGCCTATACCCCGCGAAATCTCGGTCGGAGAACCACACTTCTCTCGCTGGCCACAAGTGCATCTTCCATAAATGAAATATTGGCTCACCCTCCAACTTCTTCACAGTAGCCACGGTGTGTTCTCCATTAAGAGGGTAATAGTAGTACTTGTCCTTGTCCTCTGGCTTGAAGATATCTTTGTGAACCCTGTCAGCTCTCTCCGGCCTACGCGTCACCGGCTTGTAGATGGGTGTCAAAACCAGAGGGTTTTTCGTCCAGATCTTCCCCTTTATCTCGCGGTATTGACTTTGCATCATACCCTTGATGTCGTCCATAGTTTTGCGACTCAGACTGCGGTGGTTGTAATATCTTTCCCAAGTCGGGATCTCGCAGACCTTCCTGGGGTCGATGAGCAGTTGGACAGGGAGCTCCTTCTCCACGATTTCACCGACATCGTTCCGCTTGATTCGAGCCAGAACGCTGCCGCTTCGTCGTACTCCTTACCGACAGGCCCTTCGCCACTGCTCGCCGCCTCAACAGTCTTCCGCCTTCGAGTTTTCTTCTCGCCATCGCCTTCTTCAACTGTCACTTTCCGTTTCGATTTCCCCGAAGGTTCTCTCGCGGCCGCAGCGCCTGGATCAGCCGAATCTCCTCCACCCGCGGCTTGTCCTTCGCGGATGGTCAAACCGCCGGGCCTCCTCGCGTTCTTACTTGTCGTCCCACCCTCTTCCTTCGTCGGCCTCTTTCCCAAGGCACGTTCTCCGTCGCCACCTCCATCCCCGCCCATCACCGCCTCCGGTTTTCCTCTCATCCTCTTCATGCGGAGGGTTCCTTCCGCCACCTCCTCTCGCACCATCCTCTGTCGCTCGCTCTTCTTCTCCGAAGGAGTCTGCTCCCCGCCAGAGCTTTTGCGGACAACGCCCATCCCTTCAGCCTCATTCCCTCCAACATCTAGCCCCGATCTGCTTGAATCTCTTCTCGTCTCATCTCGAAGCGAATACGTGTCGGCGCCGCAGCGGACTTTGATAAGTTTCGAAGTACCGACCCGTTGAGTCCCTGTACCTAGAGAATGCAAGTCCGACGTGTTCCTAAGAGCATCCGGGACGACCTGCGTGTGAACGCTGCGTCCCTTGACCTGACCCCCAGCGTCTTGAATCGGACTCCCGCGCCCCACTGCCGTACCTGGAGTTTCTTGAGCCAAGCCGGACGACCCCTCACGGGGTGGCAGAAGCCGGAAAACATGCTCTGGTGGAAGAACCGGACGTTCTTTCGACACCTTCAGCGCGAGATCGAGATATTGCTCTAGCGATGGAAGACGCTTACTGCCGCCATCGTAAAGGCCTTTGAAGTGAGAGCACAACGGCATGTTCGAGCCGTACCCCGCAAAACTCTTGATGGTCACCAGCACACCTTTAMCACCTCTGATAGGCAGTCTGCACTCGTCGTACATGCCATTAGTGTGCAGCTTGAGCAAACCTCCAGGAGTCTTCGCGCACGAGACAACAGTACTGAGAGGAACAACGTTGACCGCTCCCCCAGCGTTTGTAACGCAAGTGGGTCGCATAAAAACAGTTGGCCCAAAAAGGTCCCCCTGAACAAGGAAGTCAAAAAACCATTGTGCTCCCTTTGCGTGCATATATTGAGGAGTAGGTTGCTGTACAGGTCGTCCCTCCCCGGGGGCAGATGGTCCAGCGCTTGTGGATGTGTTCTTTGCGGACGTCGTTGTATTCCCACCCGTTGACTAGCACGCCCAGCCTCAGACCAACTCGGATGACTAATACGCCCAACCCCAGACCACTACAGAAGTGAAGTGGGAACTAACTTGGACTTAACGAAATGGAGGACGAAAAGGACGGAAGAGATGGGTGTTCGAAATGCACACGAAGTCACAACAATCGGGTGAAGGATAGGAAAGACAGAAGTTCGAAGGGAAGACGATAACTGTTCGGAAAGATTAAGACCCAACTAGATGCCCTCGAAACAAGTAAGATGTGGTTTATCGACAAGTGCGAAGGGTGTCGACAAGTGCGAACTAACTCGCAGTTCTGTAGACAAGACAACAATGGCAACCCGCTGCACTAGGGGAAAGTGCGAACTAACTCGGAATTGTGGAACTGAAGACGTGAAAGACGCACGAAACGAATAAGAGGTGGTTTATCGACAAGTGCGAATCGACAAGTGAGAACTAACTCGCAGTTCTGCTAACAGGACGACAATTGCAACCCGAAGTACAACGAGAAAGTACGAACTGATTCCGAATTGTGAAACTGAAGTTCGGGTTTATCGACAATTGCGAAGGGTTTTGACAAGTGCGAACTAACTCGCAGTTTTGTAGACAAGACAATAATGGCAATGCGCAACACTAGGGGAAAGTACGAACTAACTCGGAATTGTGGAACTGAAGATCTGAAAGCCGCACGGGTTGGGTTGTCAACTCTCCAGCAGTGTTGCTCAAAAAGTGCGAACAAACTCGCATTTGTGGAAATAAAGAACTGCCTTTAATGAAATATGTGTCTAACCTTGGAAAAACTGCGAATAACCTCGCACTTGTCACTCCTCGAACACTGTACGTCGCAAACTGCGAACTGACTCGCAAGATATCTCTCTCTCTCTCTCTCTCTCTCTCTCTCTCTCTCTCTCTCTATATATATATATATATATATATATATATATATATATATATATATATATCAGGTCGGCGACCTCACAAGGGACAGGTGAGCAAAAATCGGGAATTGATTCGGTGTTTAGTGTAGCAATATATCTCTATATATACATATATGTATCTATATCTTTATATATATATATATGTAGATATCAGGTTGGCGACCTCACAAGGGACATGTGAGCGAAAATCGGGAATTGATTCGGTGTTCAGTGTAGCAACTAGGTATTGATTCGGGGTTCACCATGCGCAGCGACGACTGCAACTTGCGAAGGGGATCGAGCAGCTTTATACGAACGTTATCGTGGCTATGGCGAAAGGTAATCGAGCTGCGGAACGCGGATCGGCTATGGCGGACGAAGGTGGAGGGAAAGAGATTAGAGCATGTCCACTGGCGAAACAACAAAACCGGGAATTGATTCGGGGTTCAACAGAATACGGCTGCGGCGTTATATCCTGCAGGTACAGACAGGGCATCGGGGAATGTGTTCGGACGTCGGACGTGTACGAAGACCGAGGAACGAAGAGCGAACCGAACACAATGTGGCAACTGTGGACGGAGTGAAGAGCGAAGAGTGAGCGGGCTATGGCGGAAGGTGGTGGGGGTTGAAGACCAAATATCAAACGCGCGCGGAAGCGATAGCGCGACTTGATCTGTGGAGCGCCAACAAAAGGGATAACTCGAGGGCTGCAACGCCTTTTATACTTTGTTGCAGCAGGCCTCGCGTCGGGATCAAGGTGCGGCCGAATCGATTCGCATATCGCACCCCAAGGCCCATAAAACGCCATCAAGGTGGGGCCGAATCGATTCGCGTATCGCACCCCTGGGCCCATAAAACACCAAGGTCTATAAACGGTAAGGGGTACCGGAAATTGTCAGCCATCGATCAACAATTTTCAACCGCGCAGATGAACATAGCCACTGTTATGCCAGTGGCCCCAAAATCTCCTTCTACTCCGGCGTGCAATGATGTGACAATTCCCGAAAACAAGGGGCAGGCAATGTCATTTTCGTAGTTGTAATCTGGACCGTCCATTGACATGATCCGACGCACGGGGTCAGGCGCAAGAATCTATAAGGTGCAGCGATTCGTTGTGCGCCGAGACGGTTCGTTGCGCGCCGAGGTCACGCGACGGTTTATTTCCCGCCGAGGCGCGACGATTCGTTGTGCGCTGAGGTCAAAAACACCGGAAATCTATAAGTTCCGGTGTCGCTGTCATTCGGATATTTTGCAAATGTCAACGGCGTTCGATGTCGATGCGCTTAGCCATGCACCATCGTTATCGATGCGCTTAGCTCATCGCCATCGCCAACGCTCGCCATGCACCATCGCCATCGATGCGCTTAGCTCATCGCCATCGCGACGCAAAGCTATATCCCCCATCGCAGTCGTCGCGCTCGCCTGACCATCGCAGCGCTGACAATCGCCATCGCTCTCATCGCACCGCTGGCCATCGCTGCGCCATCGCAACGCTGGTACCATAGCTGCTATCGCAACGTTGGTTCCATCGCTGCGCCATCTGTCAATTGGTGCGCCATCGCTATCGCAGCCTTCGCTATCGCTGTTCCATCGCTGCGCCATCACTCTCCACCGCTGCGCCATCGCTCTCCACCAGTGCGCTATCGCTGTGCAACCGCTATCGTTGTTCCATCGCTGCCATCGCTATCACTATCGCTGCATCGTAACGCGTTCCATCGCCGCGTCATTGCTCTCCACCGGTGCGCCATCGCTCTCCACCGCAACGCTGGCCATCGCTATCGAAGCCCTGGCCAGTGTTATCCCACCGCAGCGCTGCGCGATTTCTCTCTCCATCGTCACACGATCTCCCTCCATCGCTGCATGATCACTCTCCATCTCACTCCATCACTGTGCAATCTCTCTCGACAACCGGGCAACCTTCATCCTTGCCCCAGAGGCTCTCCATTACTCGTGCGCGATCCCGCCATCGCCATTGTATTGTTGTTTCAGGCCGTCGTCGGTGCAGCCGCCCATCACTGTGGAATCGCACGAAACAGGTGACAGGTATGCTTAACGAAGGCTTAACTCGATGGAACTGATGTTGTGCAATAACAAATCTTGGTCATCGTTGTGCCTTCTCTCTCCATCGCTGCGGCATCGCTAACCATTGTTGCGCGTCCTCTCTCCATCTCTCTCTACCGATGCGCGATGTCTACAGACCTTTCATCATCTATCCCCATCGCTGTGGTATCTTTCCTAATCTATCTCCTTCGTCATCTCCTTCGGTGTGCTATCTTTCCTAATTTATCTCCTTCGTCATCTATCTCCATCGCTGCGCTATCTTTCCCAATCTGTCTCCATCGTCATCTATCTGCTTCGGTGCGCCATTTTTCTCCACTGCTGTGCTATCGCTAACCATCATTGCGCCTGCTATCTCCATTGCTGCGCCATGTTTCTCCATCGGTGCGCAATCTCTCTCTCTCGCTGCGGCACACCTCCCAATCAGTTCGCGATCTCTTTCCCTTCCTGCGCCATCCACCTTCTTCCTCGGAATATACAACGCACTTTCATTACAGTTGTCTTTAGACAAAACCCGAATTCAGCTGTAATGACCGGACATTGTATTCGGGGGAAGACTGTGACTCCATCCATCTCTCTTGGTGCGTCGTTTCTCTCATTCGGTGCGCCATCTCTCTCCATGTGTTTTCATCGATGCATCGTCTGCCCATCGCTTCGCAATCTTTCTCTATCTTAAAAAATAGCACGCCATCTTTCCCTATTTCTCTCTTGCGACAATCTGTGGCTCGTACTACACGCTGAACAAGCCGGAAACAACTTGCACTTGTACCCGCAGTTTCGTAATGGAAATGCTCGTTTACAAGTGCAAATTCATTCGCTCTTGAACCAACCAACCCCTTAATTTGTCACTGTTTAGTCCATAGGTCAGAATTAACTCGCACTTGTACCCCCAGTTTTGTAATGAAAATGCCCGTTTGCAAGTGCGAATTTATTCGCTCTTCAATCAACCATCCCAATAATTTTTTTACTCTACAGTCCAAAAGTCCCAGTTTCATAGTGGAAATGTTCGTCTGCAAGTGCGAATTTATTCGCTCTTCAACCAACCATCCCCCCAAATTTTTGACTCTTTAGTCCACGGCCCCAGTTTCATAATGGAAATGCTCGATTGCGAGTGCGAATTTATTCGCTCTTCAACCATCCATCCCCCTAAATTTGTTCATCTTTAGTCGATAATTCGCGTCTCTTCTCGGCCCAAAAGAATGAAGTCGTTTTGTATTTGCGAGTTAACTCGGCACTGAACCAACCATGAAGCCAATTTCTTATTGCACCGTGTAATCGAAATGTTCCTCTGAAGTGCGAATTTTTTGGCACTTGAAATTTCTCGCTGTTTAGTGGATAATACCGAATCGACTCGCACTTGTGTTCGGTCTTGTTCCGACCATGAACTTGATTTCTTACTGTACGTTGAATTAGTCTGAATCAGCTCGTATTTGTACTCTCGCCTGAAAAAGTGCGAGTTTACTCGGACATATCCAAACCGCTTGCACACTAAACGAGTGGGGGAGGAGTCGGACTTGAGATAGCACTTGAGCCTCACATCAGGGTCCGACAAAACGATATGGATTCAAATGTTGTTATTCCACTGTTTTGTGATAAATATTTGAAATGTGAGTTTGCTCCCTGTAGTTTATTTCCGTAACCTCGTCATACGTTGGCATGATTTTCTTGTTGTACAGTTTCCGTGTGAATCGTCTTTTCAAATGGCTGTCCAATCCGTCCACTGTGTCACGCCACCGCCACCGTCACGACAACAAGGAGAAGACAATGTTCGAGAACGTAGTTCTTGTGATAGCAGCCCGGAAGCTCCCTCTGATCGACATTGCGGTTTAAAAAGGGAGTTCTCGATGTTGACCCCGACGACTCATTCAGGCTCGTCTACGACGTCCGCCCGGCGTCATTTTGTTCGCTGTACCGACGTTCCCGACGGTCAGCGCGTATCTACAGCGCTAATCCCCGGTAGTGAGGGTGGTCGGGATGTCGAGATGTTTCCCGGTGGGTGGATGTTCGTGGACACAGATTTCTGTGGTGTGTCC